CAACACAATTCTGTGGTTGGAATTCCTTATATAGAGAAGAAATTTGTGGCCAACTCCTTAAAGAAGAAGGAATCCTACTCCAATAACGAGTTGCAAATTCTCTTTGAGTTCTATTCAAACTAGGAGATAGCAATTTTGTTTATTCCTTCCTAAGTTAGGAATCCTACTACATTAAGGAATAGTCAAGTCAATTCCTACTAGGAAGTGCTTGAACTGATCTGTTCGTTTTAATTTATTTGGGTTGGTTCTTTTATTGCTTTTCTTGGTCGTTCCTTTGTGTCTTTCTGTTTCCTTTAACTCTTGCAGATTTGTTGGAGTTAGATTGCTGCAAAATAACTTGAATTGAGCTTGTTTGGTTCAATAACGAACTAAAAGAGGAAAGTTGAGTGAGGGAAAAAGGCAAGAGGTGTGAGCAACACTTGCGAGAAAAGCCAAATTCTACAGTGTGCAAAACACGAGCGTTGAGTGCCATTCAGTGAGAGAGATGAGTGAAACACGTAAGGGAGTGTTGTATGGTCCTTTTATTCTTCTGTTTCTAACATTCATTGCAGGTTTCAATCATGTCAAGCAGTGATGACAAATCAACCACTAGAAGCCACCATGTGGATGAATCCTTCATGCTCAAAGCAATGCAACAACAATTTCAGAGGCTAGACATCATGTTTGGTGAGATTAAAAACAAAATAGAGAAGCAAGATGTAACAATAGCCAAGTTATACCAAACACAGAATGGAAGTCCGAATTTGGGTAGGAATGATGCTAATGATGATTTCAAAGACAATTATGAAGATGCATCAACAATGACGCCCAGAACTCAAATTTCAGCATGGACAGAATTATGAGAGGTAGAGGGGGCCAAAGAGAGCAAAATCTGATGAGGTGGGGAGATCAGCAAGATTGTGACTTAGGTAGCATCAAGATGAAAATTCCTCCGTTTCAAGGCAAAAAAGATCCAAATGTGTATTTGGAGTGGGAAAGGCAAGTAGAATTGGTGTTTGATTCCCACAACTATTCTGAGGAGAAAAAGTTGAAACTAGCAGCAGTGGAATTTACTGATTACGCTGTGGTGTGGTGGGATCAGCTTGTGCTTAGTTGACGTAGAAATCGAGAGCATCCTGTTGACACTTGGGAAGAGATGAAAGTTGTGATGAGAAAACAATTTGTTCCTAGTCACTACTACCGTGATCTCTATCAGAGATTGTAGGGCCTTACTCAAGGGTCCAAAAGCATTGAGGATTATCACAAAGAGATGGAAATCGCAATGGTTAAAGCGAATGTGGAAGAGGACAGAGAAGCAACTATGGCACGATTTCTAAATGGCTTAAATTGTGATATAGCTAATGTGGTAGAGCTGTAGCATTATGTGGAATTAGAAGATATGGTGCATATGGCGATGAAAGTAGAACGACAACTCAAGCATAAAGGAGCCACCAACAGAACTGGGCAAAATTCAGGTTTCTCATCTTCTTGGAAACTGAATTGGAGCAAAAAGGAAGAAAATTTTGCTTTTAAGCCTAAAACTTCAGCATCTAAGTCAAAAGAAGTTGGCAGCAATGAGAAGAGTAAAACAGATAACACGCAAGGCAGAAACAGAGACATCAAGTGTTTTCGATGCTTGGGAAGGGGGCATGTTGCATCGCAATGTCCTAATAAGCACATGATGATCTTGAGAGAAGATGGAGAAATTGAAACCAAGGGTGAATCTAATGATGAATCTATGCCACCATTACAGGATGCTAATGATGGTGTGGAATATGCCATTGATGGAGAACTACTTGTCGCCAGGTGAGCTTTGAATGTGCAAGCCAAAGAAGATGAAGTATAACGTGACAATATATTTCACACGAGTTGCCATGTTAAAAACAAGGTATGCAGTGTGATTATTGACGGTGGTAGTTGTACTAATGTAGCTAGCACTATTTTAGTTGAAAAGCTTAATTTATCTATGACGAAGCATCCAAGGCCATAAAAGCTGCAATGGTTAAACGATTGTGGAGAAATCAAGGTAAATAAACAAGTTTTGGTTTCATTCTCTATTGGACGATATAAGGATGAGGTACTTTGTGATGTGGTTCCTATGCATGCTGGACATTTACTTTTAGGGAGACCATGGCAATATGATAGGAGGGTAACACATGATGGCTTCAAAAATTGCTATTCATTTGTCATGGAGGAGAAAAAAATTACACTTGCACCATTGAGTCCAAGGCAGGTTTATGAGGATCAACTGAGAGTAAAAAAAGAGAATGAGCTGAGAAATGAGAGTGAGCTTGAGGGTATGAAAAACAAAGAGAAAACAACAGAAAAAGAGTCCAAAAAGAGAGAAAAGATTGAGAGCGTTGAAAACAAAGGGAGAAAATCAATGAGTGTTTATGCAAAAAAAAGTGATGTCAAAGCTGCGTTCTTTGCAAAGCAGTCTATGTTTGTGCTTCTGTATAAAGATACTTATTTCAACACTAACGAACTTAATGATTCTTTGCCTAGTATTGTTAAATCTCTTTTGCAGGACTTCAAGGACATGTTTCCAGAGGGCATCCCTAATGGTTTACCACCAATAAGAGGAATTGAGCATTAGATTGACTTCATTCCAGGTGCAACAATTCCAAACCGACCAGCATATTGAAGCAACCCCAATGAGACGAAAGAACTTCAAAAGCAGGTTGAAGAACTCATGAAGAAGGGACATGTGAGAGAAAGCATGAGTCCAGGTTCACTTCCAGTGCTACTTGTGCTTAAGAAGGATGGCACTTGGCATATGTGCGTTGATTGTCGCGCTGTCAACAAAATCACTGTAAAGTATCGTCACCCTATTCCTAGATTAGATGACATGTTAGATGAACTGTATGGTTCTTGCATATTCACTAAAATTGATTTAAAAAGTGGGTATCATCAGATTAGGATGAAGGAAGATGATGAATGGAAAACAGCCTTTAAAATGAAACATGGTTTATATGAGTGGTTAGTTATACCATTTGGATTAACTTATACACCTAGTACATTCATGCGATTAATGAATCATGTTTTGCATGCTTTCATTGGCAAATTTGTGGTTGTTTATTTTGATGACATTCTGATATATATAGTAAGAGTTTAACTGATCATATTGAGCATCTGCGAATGATATTAGAGGTTTTGAGAAAAGAAAAGTTGTTTGCTAACCTTAAAAAGTGTTCCTTTTGCAAAAATTAGATTGTCTTTTTAGGGTATGTTGTTTCAACTGATGGAATTGCAATAGACAAAGAAAAGATTAAGGCTATTAAAGACTGGCCAACACCTACGAATATTTTTGAGGTGTGGAGTTTTCATGGTTTGGCAAGTTTCTATCGGAGATTCATCAAGGACTTCAGCACAATTGCAGCTCCATTGACTGAAATCGTGAAAAAAGGTGTCGGATTTAAGTGGGAAAGTGAACAGGAGAATGCTTTCAATTTGATTAAGGAGAATTTAATTTCTACACCATTACTTGCTTTACCTAATTTTACTAAAACTTTTGAAATTGAATGTGATGCATCAGGTATTGGCATTGGCACTGTTTTGATGCAAGATGATGAGAACCCCAAAGAGAACAATGAGACCCACAGCACAACAAGGGATTTCTAAACTCCAAGAAAGCTAAATCAGGTTTATAATAGGACCTTGACCCATTGTTTATGTCGCAACAAGAACCAAAGGTAAAAACCTTGACCCGTTGTCTATGACGCAACAAGAACCAAAGGTAAAAACCTTGACCCGTTGTCTATGACGCAACAAGAACCAGAGGTATAAAGTTGGTTGACGCCACACCCTCGAGGGATTA